AAGTAAGTGAGCATTCACATTTTTTGGATTAACTTCAAAAGTTAATAAGTTATAGATGTACATCCAGTGATTATTTCCTGAAAGTATATAAAAACCTATCAAGTGACTCGAGACATTGTGCAAACAATAAAAGCAGGGTTAACTCCAGCAGTTAATACCAGAGTTTTAAGCAAAGATCAGTGAGTGGCACTTATTATACTGTATGTGTTGGAAATTACACAATGTTTGTGAAATAAACTGAACTATAGACATGTTTGTGTTTTGTAAGGTCAGCTGGCTTTTGTGGCCTTGTTGAATTGTATTGGCTCCAGAGGTTAATCAGTTGTAGGAGTACATTCAATGGTTGTGTCCTAAAAATGTCATTAAAGTCCATCCAATGGAGAATACAATATTTTGCTATCGAGCAGATTGAGTTGACTGAATTGTTAATGGCAGCATTAACCTTAAATAAAAACTTGCACAATGTGTTTGAGCTCAAAATAAGTGTTGTGGATCAGTCTCAGCTACTATAAGTCAGTTTCCGCAAAACTGGCTTTAAAGTATTTCCTTGGAAATTTCAGAGCTGGATAAAAGTGTGCAGAATTAAGCACTTTCATGAATTCTACTTTTCGATGGCAGCTGTAAGAATGAAACCACAAATACCCATCAGTTGGTTCAGTATTTACATCTGAACTGATCCGAGAGGCAAAAAGGACAGACGAGCTCTGCTCTCTGGGTCGGAAACTTTAACTGACGTTTAATTATGCKTTTTAATTTCCACAGCTCATAGTCTGCAGATTTACTGTAATRGTCTAACAAGGAATGAGGCGGTAAGTTTTTTAAGACAGCTGCACAATTTGCTGGTGTGAAATTCCTGCGTGTGTCAGTTGAAGAGGATGCCGGAGCAACGAGTGGAGGAGTCAAGCTGCGATAAGAAGTCAAATGTGGCCGAGCCGATAGTCCGTGACCTCAGAAAGCACAGCAGGCCTGATAACACACATTTTGCCTCTCTGGCTGTTAGTTTTCTGATAAATGGGTTTAGGGTGTGTAAACAGTGGCTAATTGGTGAGAGAGCTGTATTTTCCTTTTATTCACACTCCAACCATGTGACATGTCATAAACTGCAGTAAGAATTTGATGAAATTTGATGAAAGTAATCGCTGGACGTGCATCTACAGCTGATTACCTGTTGGAGACAACCCATTTCAAGATGGCCACCACAGCCAAGTGAGCATAGAAAACACAAATGTAGCAATTTAGTCAGTTTTACAGATATTGAGCGGTATTAGCCGAGGGTCATTCGCAACACCTTGCAGTATTGTGTGAGATCACGCATAAGGAAGTTTGGAGCAAAACGACTAAAACTCTTCCATTTTTCAACAAAAGATGAGCTTAGTTTAAAAATCTGGCATAAGCAGCAGCAACATAAGAGTAGTACATTACGCCATAAGCACGGCTGGAGGAGTCTCTCTAGGATAGGGGTCCACAAATGGTGAACCATGGTCCAGCTCTGGACCCAAATAAAGTCTTATCTGGACCCAGATTTGTTGAATTAAAACGAAATGCATGATTTTGAGCACTTGGTGGTAAATTTTAACTTCGGCAGCTTCCTTTGGCTTCTGTACCTAACCTGGTAAAAACCAGACCCTTGTCCTTCACTTTGCTTCGTACGAGGGTCTGGACTCGCGGCTATAGAGAAGCGATTCTTGCTGGAGGCGTGGCCTCTGCTGAAGTTTAAAATGATTGGATCGGTTGGCTGCGACGTATGTCGCTGTGAAGGAGGCTAAGCTAAGAAGCTAACCGGAAATTGCGTGCGCTGTAAACAACCCTACTGAAAGGATAGAAGTACCGAGCCGAATGAGACGGCTGTAAATGAGAGCTGCTGCTTTGTCAGACAAATTAAATTTAATTTGGAAGCCTTATCAACACAGACTGGCTTCATTCACTCCCTCCACTGCTGTATGCTAAACTAACTAGCAGACACTGCGCAGAAAATCRAYGTCGTTCAAAACTCCGCCTTCTGTTCTCTGATTGGCCCAGACGAATATTCTCCCGAAGAAATCCTTGTCTATGGGAGAAATCCCAGACGGAGCAGTGAAGGGAAACTAGAATTGAGCAGAACTGCATATGAAGGCAACGGCCAGGCTAGCTTCTACCTGTCTTTTTAAATAATCAAGTGCTTCATCAAATAATCTATTGATTCATTTAGTGATTCCCAAATATTTTCCTCAAAGCCCCCCTTTCCAAATTCCAAGCCAAGCATCCCTTACTACTCCCCACCTCTCCCAAAGACACATTCAGCCTTTATCTCTTTATCAATGTAATAAATGATATAAAATAAAAGATTTGAAAAATAAAAAAAGAAATGAGTTATGCATAGTTTTAATTGTTCAAATGAACTTGTTTTGGTGATTTTTATAAACAAACAATAATTTGATACTTTTACAACCTCTGAGCTGAAGGATATGAACCCCCGTGCTTTCTGGCATCCCCCTAAGTTGGAAACCACAGGATTAAGTAAACAGCTATACATGAGCTACACCAGATGCTACTAACTTTATTTCCTGGAATCTCCAACTTGTAGCTGTACCCCTCACTCTCCACCTTGCATTTGTTGTACAGATCACATGCCCACCACAAAACATCAGTTTGATTATTTTTTCATCGGGTGCAACAGTACGTGTATTTGTAGCGTGCCTGTTTGGCACAGATGTTTTGAACAGGTACCATACAGTGATAAAGTATAGATAGTTCAGATTAACATGCTTGTCTTTGCTTCTGGGCGATTTGTTGTCTGCATAAAAAAAATACACACTTGGCATATGTTTTTTTTTAATTTCTTGTACAAACCGTGACCGTCATACAGAGCTATGACTCAAACTGTGACTTAGACAAGCAGTTCCAGTTTTGTTTATTAGAAACTATTTCTAGAATTGTTTTTGTTTCTTGTTATCAAACCCTGGATCTTGTTTGCCTCTGAACCGGGATCAGATGTCAGGATGTTTTTGACTGTTTGGTCCAGCTTTTGGTTTGATTATTATTATTAAGCTGAAACGACTTCCTGAGTGCGACAAACAGTTTTTTGACAATCCAAAACATCATTACAGTCAAGTTGGTTCTTTTAAATGGAAACGTCCAACAACTCATTTTATAAAAACTGGTAAAACAAGACCTGCAACTTAATACAAAATTATTCCCCTTTAGGAGGGTTCAGGAAGCTGCGGTTTGGACTTGGTGTAAAGCTGGATTGTGTTGGTGGGGATTCATTCATTTTTTCAAAGTTAATGTGATGTTGTGGTGAGATARTTCAGTTTTACTAGAGTATTTTTGATTTTCTTCTGTCACAAACTTGTCCTTTTCGTCAGATTGATCAGGTAAGTTAGGTTAAGTTAAGGGATTGGATTGGTTTTATTGTCATGTGRAGGTTAACACAAGTCAACAATGCAATGAAATACTTCAAATGAGAACCGTTCAACTCGCTGTTAAAACAAAGAAAGRTTTAATATCATATTATTTACATAGTACAAAAGAAATATGGCTAATAATATAGTAAATAAATAATAGAGTAAAATATAATAGTGCAGGTAGAATGAAGTACAGGGTATTTCATAGATGGTAATATTGCTTAGATGATTATTGTATTGCACATGATATTGCACATAACACAAAGGACACTGAAGAGATGTTACAAGATTGTATTTTTTTTTGTTTTTGGTATTTTGTATGATGTCAGATGCTGCTCATACAGTCCTGTGGTTGACAGCTCATTACATTGACCCAACTCAGCTCTAAAAACCAATCAGAAAATGCTCAAACTACTAAAAACACATCACACAGTATCCTGGTAATCCACTCCAGTTTTTAATGAAATAAAATAAGAGTACACAATGACAACACAATCAGCCTCAACAAAAAATGTTATTCACCATTTGTGCATAAACCAGCAGTCCAGGCACATTGGAATTACTGTGCAGAGCTCTCTTTGAGTCATAATCAAGTTCAAATCATACAAAAAATATGCAAAAAACTAGAGAACAATAAAATGTCAGATTCARTTTAGGCTGTAGAGGAAGTAGTGGAGGAGTTTAAGTATCTGGGTGTCTTGTTCACGAGTGATGGTAGGATGGAGTGGGAGATGGATCGACAGATTGGAACAACGTCCTCAGTAATGAGTGTGTTGATTCAGTCGGTCGTGGTGAAGAAAGAGCTGACTCAAAAGGCAAAGCTCTTGGTTTACTGGTCGGACCATGTTCCAACCCTCACCTGTGGTCATGAGGCGTGGATCATGACCAAAAAAACGAGATCCCGGATGCAAGCGACTGAAATGTAGGGTGGCCGGGCTCAGGGTAAGGAGCTCCGTCATCCGGGGGGAGCTCGGAGTAGAGCCGCTKCTCCTTTGCATCAAAAGGAATCAGTTGAGGTGGTTCCCCTGATTAGGAAGCATCCTGGATGTCTCTCTTTAGAGGTGTTCCAGGAACGCCTCAAAGGTAGGAGGACCCGGGGAAGACTCAGGACTCGCTGGAGGGATTATGTATCCTTTCTGGCCTGGGAACGCCTCAGGGTCCCCCAGGATGAGTTGGAAAATGTTTCTGGGRASAGGGAAGTCTGGGTTTCTCTCCTGGACCTGTTGCTTATGCAACCCGACTACGGATAAGAGGAAGAAGATGGAGAGAGTAGTATCTATGCCTTTATTTGTCACCGTTGAAGTTAGGTAGTGTAGGGTTATTTTTGCACCTGCTCTGTAGTCCTGTTTGCCATCAGTCTAACTGTGGTGTGGAAAAACCAATTAAAAAACCTTGTTCTGTGGCTGATGATGCTGTCTGCTCTGCTGTGTCTCAGATTAAATGTGCAGGGTTCGTGTCTGAGTAGAGACTGAGCTGRATGGAGGGGGTCCTTGATAACGACTTTTGTGAACCATTGATGCAAATGAGTTTAGTCGTCTTGTAAAATTCAGTTTCTGGTGGTGTTTTGGACTCGTMTTCACTCTTGGTTCTTCCTGTTTTTGTTTCTCTTCATTGCAGCTGGATGCATTTTACAAGCAGCACATGGCCTGCATCCTGCTAACAGACATGAACCCACCCTCACCCTCTCCACCAACACCCAGCACAAGGCATGACCCCGAGCAGGACACAAAGCCTGCTTTCCTAAGCATTCAGCTTTACCAGCCGGGGACGGTCCAASAGGGTGGCAGCTTCTCTCAGAACATACTCACCTTTCCACCTGGAGAATATGTAGCAGAGGAACTGTGCATCAATGCTGCCAAAGCTTGTGGTGAGTCACACAGGAATTTCAGTTCTTCCATTTGTCCATACACGCATCATGTACGTCTTTTTATTTATTCACCTGAGTCCAGGTCGGGACTTTGACTAAGCCTTACTTTTTGACCAAATTAATCATTTCACATATGAACAAAACCACAAGAATGTTGCGAAATGCCACCATCCTGTTGATTCACCGTGTTCTGTTTAAATGAACACAAGCCGTGTCATGCTTGAGACCTTTCAAAGAGCACACTGGTTATGCGTCCTCCTTTTTAACACCACATTTTCTTTCTTTGCAAAGTTCTGCTTTTGYCTGTGAGATCTTCACTTAAAAAAACACCCAGTCTTCAAACAGATAATCCTGACTGTGCAAACGTCATCCACAGACTTTTCTTTTTGCCTTTTAATTTCATTTTTGAATGCATATTTTAAACATAGCACTTGATTACATGGTTTTAAAGGGACCGTATCATGGGCAAATCCACTTTTTTAGTCGTTAAATAAATTTTTGCTGTGTCCTTGGAGTCTCTAGAAGTGCAGAAAWGTTGAATTTAGTCTCTCCTGGGGCTGCATAGATATGGTTATATTATATATTTTTGGGTCAAATTTTTCAACCTGTTAAGTTTTCTCTTTTTTCTGTTACGTTTCCTGAACTATTACGTTAAACTGTTTGTGACGGAACTGCAACATTTTTTTTATTAATTTGTAAATAAGTTTCTACACTGCTACATAGCTATAAACACCTCCTATTATACTAGAATGGACCAGTCTGGAAGCTGGAGGGGGGCGGGGCTTAAAGCATCTCCCTTGGATTTAAAGTGCATGTGACACGCCTATCCATCGAATACAAAAAGTCAAAGAAAACACATTTTTATATAAGAAACCTGGCATAACATGTGATTTTACCCATTTTGTCACATAACTGGCATATTTTCTTTTGAACTTGGCTCAGCCAAAGTGCAACAGGAAGTGACATCAAAGGGGAACTTTTTAAGAAAGAGAACTCTGTAATCTTTGTTTATTTAAACAATTTTATTTGAACTCTGACTCGTCTTCATCTCTCTCTGATAGTGACAAAATTATATTAAGAAACATCAGATTTGTCTCTACAGTCTGTGTCGTTAGCCGTTTTATCACTGCTTTGTTCCATACAGGCATTCCTCTTTGACATCACTTCCTGTTACTTCACCTGCAAATATCTCAACAACTGTTCATCTCAGCAGCAGGAAATTATTTGTGCAATTTGCTAATAATGTTATCTCTCCAATAATGCCTATATATATTTATTTTTAAAATTTTATGTCACAGGCACTTTAAAGAGACAGCCTCAAAATGAGTTAATCTGAAACACACCTCAGAAAAGGGGTGAAAGAGGGGCTTGTGGAGTAACAGTAAGGAGTAATTTAGACCAAAAAATTGCAGTTCCACTTTATATAGACCCCAGCTGAAGGATGTGAATGTGAAAAAGAGGGATTTAAAAGCATGACATGTCTCCTTTTTAGCGAGGAAAAAATAAGTTGGACATTWGCTGTTAGTTTATTTGACTTTGTTTTAAACTTTCTTTTTTACAAACCTGAGTCGTTCACAGAAGTTATTTTATTTCCTCCTTTCCCTCATTTCTTTCTTGCCTCATTTCAATGGTTCTGATAAAGAAATGCACAACATACTCTTAAGTGCTACAACAGCTTGGTATCTTTGCTTAAAGGTTTACCTGTTGCAGGCGCCCTGATTGTCTGTTAGTGAAACATCCGAGTGTGAGATTGGGTATAATTTTCAAGGTTTGACTAAAACACTACAGCTCATTTTTCAACAGAAGATCTCTGGCTTGAAAGGCGACAGGTGATGTGCCGTCCTTGAAGGATTGTTAAGCCTTATTTTAAATTTTATTATTATTTTCTGGATTATAGTCTCTTTTGCATCCTGACACCTGGCTTTCCTGCCATGTCTCACTCCTGTTGTCTCTTTCATGGTTTAACCACAGTCGTATCACGTTTGCCATCGTTTTTTATGTGGCTTGGTCCAAGGCTGTGAGTTTTGAGACAACCACCTGTTGCTTGCACGGTCATATCTGCTTCTGCAAAAGGCTTCTTACACTGATTTGCAACTAGGCCTGTCRCGATAGTCATTAAATCAATTAATTGCACGATAAATTTTTTTGAGGTCGGTAAAAAAAATGAGGACGATGAGTTTGATTTTCCTGCTTGTTTGTTTACTTGTTTGTTTACTTCGTCTTTCTCCCTGTCTGTGCTCCGCTACACAGGGGCTCAGCTGACTCCTTCCCTCCTGTTTTCTTAGTGTGGGGAGGAGTGAACTCTCGCTTTAGCATGAGAGCTCGTAGCAATAACAAACTAAAGAAACGTTTCAAAGCAGAACGTGGCTGCGGCAGTGTCGGAGCAATTGCAGAGCCTGAAATTAGAGAGAGAGAGAGAGAGAGAGAGAGAGAGAGAGAGAGAGAGAGAGA